CCCAATTAAATTAAAATAAAATTTAATGTGTAAGATGCGCCTAGAGACGGGCTATACTAGTTGTTAGTAAAAGATCCTGTTGTCAATATTTTTAGTTTTTGTTTGACTATCACCTTGATTGCTACTATATATGATTGTAATTATTTATATTTTCTTGTTTTGTACCTAGCTAACCCTTGGCTTTACCTATGAGGGAGGAAACACCATCTAATTGATAGTAACAATAAGTATAATGTTATTTGAAGTATGATCTTTCTTTTGTTTCAGTAGAATTGTTATCCATTATCTTAAATTTTAAATGGTTCGAGAATAATAAAAAAAAGCGAAATATATCATTAATGAATGTTTTATTAGTACGATATTTTTGCCAATCTACGTAGTAAATTTTGTTGATGAGAAAATTAACAACATAACATAACAGTAAAACAACTAAATTCAAATCAAAATACTCCCGGTATTTTTTGGATTTGGATCCTAATCATACCAATTAATGTTTCATCCATCTCGACACCTCATCACACCATGAGAAAGGAAGATTTATAAAACCGGTACACCCTAAAATCATAGGTTTTAAACAAACCATGTGAAAAATGTTTGACTTGTATTTTTAATTTTTGGTGGCTGAAAAGGATCCCAGTAGGGTTATCCGGCTATGTAGACAAATAAGTATATCACACGTTTCATCTTCTAATTATATATATTGAATTACAATGGGAACAAAATCGGCAGCTGGAGGAGAAGATGTACAAAGCCGTCGAATGTTGGGACAACTATTTAATATTTGTTAGGTAAGAATTCCAGAGTCTGTAAATAATGGCTTCTGTTTTGAGTTCTCGAAGGAGGGATGGATATAGGAAGCCGTATGGATTTTTACAATGATCCCAAAATTGAAAGACGGCCAATTGTTAACTATCAAGCACTCAAGATGCCTCGAAGGCTCGAATATGTCAGTTTAAGATAGATGGCCTTCCTTCTTTTCTGTCTTCTGTATTCGCATATATTGTATGGCACTTAGAATCTAAAGAAATCAAGGTTGTTAAACTAGTTTATATTGTTATACTTGTTTGGAAATTCCTACAATACCTTGAAGTTATGGTAACTTGATGTTTTTGACCTGCTATAACAGGTTTCACAAGTCGCATTACGTAAAATACAATAGGCATTACGTAATTGTTACGTAATGTATGTTTATCTTACGTAATAGTTGAAAAATGTCATTACGGAAACCTTACGCAATAGACACTCATTTTACGTAATGAATATTAACCTTTCGTTACGTAATATGTTGAATCATTACGGAAGGCTTACGTAACACTTCGAATCAATTGTTACGTAAGAAATAACTATCATTACGTAACCTTTACGTAATAGATGCATACTTTACGTAACAGTTGTAAAGTGGCATTACGGAAGCCTTACGTAATTGATGGTCCTTTTACGTAATGATATTAATCAAGTTACGTAATGTGGTAAGTCATTACGGAAGTCTTACATAACACTTCTAATTTAACTGTTACGTAAGAAATAAACTTCGTTACGTAACCTTTACGTAATGAGCGTGTATTTTATGTAACAGTTTTAAAATGTCATTACAGAAGTCTTATGTAATAGACGATGCTTTTACGTAATGAATATTAATCTAGCGTTACGTAAAATGATAAGTCGTTACGGAAACCTTCTGTAACGCTTCTATTTTAACTGTTACGTAAGACTAACAAGCATTACGTAATTGTTACGTAATAAACATTAGTTTTACGTAACGCGACCTATAAAACCTGGTATACCTGGTAAAAAACGTCAAGTTATAGTAACTTCAAGGCATGGTAGGAGGTCCCTACTTGTTTAGCAAGTGAAATGATATGACTAGTTGTATAACAGGTTTGTATCGATTCATGTTGGTTTAACAAAATATGTAAAAATGTGAAAATCATTAACACCCAATGAATTTAATCATATATAAAACATATTTGAGTACAATTTATTTACAATCCAACAAATAACATCAAATTTTGACTTTTAAATTCATGAAATAAATAATAAATTAATTTTTCTTAACTAAAATCATTAAGACGACATCATTTTGTTTCAAATTCATAAGTCAATCATGCCGTTCATATCGGGGTGTCCACTCCGATTTCATGACCTATATCAATTGAATCAGGTTCAACAAACTAGCATGCCATCAACATGACAACCATAAAAGAAATACAATTTCATTTGCCAAATTTTTTTTCTTCTTTTCATTTATTTGTTTATGGATATCTTTTTTTTATTGAATCCCTTTTATTTATAATTGGGTAAGCTCTCTATTTTCACAATGTGCTACCATGGTCGGAATACACATAATAACTTACTAAATCATAAATTCCAAATAATATAAGTTACTTATAAACAAAAATGAGTATTAAAGTTTCTAAAGTTCAAACTATAAACGTTAGGGTGCGCCTATGGTGCATTGCAAGTCACCGTAACTTGCACAATTCGGTCGACCTATTCCTAATTGCGGTCGACCGAATCCCCTAAAGTGGTCACTCTAATTTTGTACAAATGACCAACAACAAAGAAGTGGTCGACCTTAAAGACGTAAGTTGTCACTACCAGAACCAATTAGGTCGACCTTTGCTCTTCCTAGGTCGACCTAAACCCTTTACCAATAAAAACATCTGTAATACTACCACGAAAAATTGATAGGTCGACCAGACACATTGACCGGCCAACCTTTTAAGCACAACATAGTCTTACAAACAAAGCCAAAGTCGACATTCTGGATAAACAAGCAAAACAAACATAAACGGTCGACCATGATAAGAATTAGGTCGACCTATTGGGTTTGATTTTCCTTACCTCGCAAGTACAGAAGTCCGAGTATTGTGCCCTAAATTCAATTTCACGAATGGTCTTCTGCACACAACAAAACATCAAATTAAACGGTGCAAATTATGTATTAGAGAAGATGAAAACCATAGCTAAAATAGAGTCGACCTCACCTTTCACGTTGGTCGAACTCTTGAAACACGTACAACTACAACCGCAAAGGATCTTATTCTTCTTCACAAAAGCTCTAACCGTACAAAAAAACCAAATTCAGAGTTTCGGTGGCGATGAAGGTGACATATATTTGTATTTATAGATATTTAGGACGAGATTGGGTCGAATTAAGTGGTATACAAGTTAGGGTTACCTTTCTGGCGTTGGAATCCTTATCAAATATGGATATAGTGTGCACATGGTCGACCGTTTATACTATTTTCCTAAATAATCCCGACTTTGATGTTGATCAGTTAATGAAACAGAGGTCGACCTGTTCACTTATGAGGGTGACCTTTTAATATCAAAATGGTCGGTCTTTGAGATATTTGGGTCGACCTTTTATATTGTCGCTTCCCAAAGAGGTCGACCATTTGCTGTAAAAGGTCAAACGCGTCGTTGAGCCTCACAAAACTGAAACAACAGATTAGGTCGACCTAATCCTATATGAGGTCGATCTAAAAATGCAAGTTACGATGACTTGAAAGTCACCATATCAAAGTCCTTAACATTATTAACATAACTTGTATTTACACCTTTACTGTTATATCACATTTACTGTTGGTTGATAACGATATTTTCTTTACAAGAGCAACTACGGAAGAATGCCTATAGTTAGGAGAAATCTTAAGGATCTATGAGAGAGAGAGAGGGTCTATTTGCAAAAATCTATACTCTCTTTTATCTATAATATTGATACAACACAAAGAGCAAGATTTGCTAACTCCAGAGAAAGACGCACGTGGATCACAGTGTCAAAATTTTGGGTTTACCAACTGTGATAGTCAGGGAGAAAAAATATATTTATGGGGTGCTCATGAATAGAGTAAGGAAGAAGATAAAATTTTGGAAGAGCTAGTTGCTGTCTATAGCTACTAAAGAAGTGGTAATTAAGGTTGTGGCTCGGGATTAAGATACATACACTATGTATTTGTTCCTCTTATGGAGTTTTGAATGATATCATGAGTGTCATGACAAGTTTTTGTGGGGTCAATAGAAGGAGGAAAGAGGATTCCTTGGCGTGCATGAAAGAAGTTGTGTGGATCTAAGTCACCTGCATGGCTTGATTTTTAGGGATCTAAAACTTTTTAATCTTGCTTTGCTAAGGAAATAAATATGGAATTTTATTCACAATCCAGATGTGCTTGTTATATACGCGTTGCTACGGATCGGAAAATCGCCGGAATCGACAAAGTAAGAATACGAAAAATGAGAATCGAAAAACACAGACACACGATTTACCACTACAACATTTTTGGTATATTATGACAGATGGATTTCGTCACATTAAGTACCTTCTTCGTCACATTAGGTTTATTGTGACAAATATGTTTGTCACAAAGTTTCGTTGCAAGAACCCCGTCGTAATAGGTATATTGTGACAAAATATTTTTCATCTTGTCACAACAACTTATCCCGTATTGTGACAAACATAAGGTGTCATAATAAGTATTTAATGTGACGAAATATCTTGTAGCAATAACTTGATATTTTGTCACAACAAAACACGATTTTGTCACGTAAAACATTATTCTCTGGTACTTATTGTGACGAAAATGTTTGTTATAACGATATTTTTGTCACAACAAAACACGATTTTGTCACGTAAAACATTATTCGCTGGTACTTATTGTGACGAAAATGTTTGTTATGACGATATTTTTTGTCACAATGTTTGTCGTATTTGATATTTTGTTAATTTATTATGACAAATCACATCTGTCACAATTTGGGTAGGTTTGATGTGATAAATGGTTTTTCATATTTTGTTAGTCTAAATTAGGATTGACAGAACAAATAGTGACAAACATAGATTCATCATTTGAGAGGTACCCAAGGAGCTGTTGGACATAAAAACAAGCTTCTTCATTCAAACCACAAAATGGCTAATATCTGTTGTTTGCCAAAAATCTGCTGCTACATAACAAGCATTACTAAACACCATTATCCGACACTTACACTTATAAACATTATCCGACACTTACACTTGATAAATATTAACGTTCCTAATAGTTTAGTACCCCAAAATCATGCAGCAACTCAAGCCAACTACTTGAATCCCAAAATCAGCAACCTCTGTCCAGCCCTCCTCACATGCCCTCCTCACATGCATCATCTCACCTGTAGATAACATGCATTAGTTCATCACCCCACATTCAGACTGTTGCATTAGTTCTGTTGTTATCTTTCGAAGGAGTTAGTAGATTACCTCCTTCAGTTGTTATTTCCAGCCATTCTAGCAGCCAAGTCACGAACAGTAGCTCCAAGACGGTGCTGCGATGCTTCCATCTCCTCAAACTTTGTGTCTTGAGTTTGTAGTTTCGACTGCTGAATTTCAATTTGCTCCTCAAATTGCTTGGTCCGCCTTTCAAAAGTCTCCCTTTCTGCCTGCCTTTCTAGCCTTTCGGCTTGCAATTCTCTCTCCAGCTGAATCTCTCTAGCCGATCGTCGTGCTTCCTTTCTAGATACCCTTGGCTTTTTCTTCAGCACCTTGTCAACAATCTCAGAACCTGGAACATTATTACCTGACTGACTGCTCAAGGCAGTCATATTGGCCTACAAGGAAAGAAACAACAACTCACTCAGTAATCAACATCCATACACGTGCATTCACACATGAAAGTATTCACACACATAGAGGCATACATAATTTTTCTCAGTATCTGGATGAACCCAGCTTCCATCACGCCTCTTATGAGTGTCAGCATACACAACCACCTCTGGAGGCGGCACAGTAGGGTTCTGCTACTCTGTTGAGTCATTCTGCTGCTCACCGTTACTCGGCTCCACTCCATCATTAGTTTGCTCACTATTTGCCGTCTTCTCCTTCTCATTCTAATGTTAGAAAATAATCTCATAAGATTTACAAAATGGTATATCCAGTGAAACAACCACAAACATATGTTTTCGCTTACCAGTTCAAAAATCCTTTGACTAAGTGACTTAGCACCTGTTGTATGAGGATACAATACTTGGCTTCTATTGTCTACATTTATGTCACTTCGCTTCTGCATTATGAGGATATCATTCTGTATTTAGGAAATTGAATCCTAATATTCAATGTATTCATGTAGGTTGTTTTAAGATTACCTTGAATTGCACACTATCAAAATGGTCGCAGAGTAGCTTCCAGTCATCAATGTTCACTTCCTCTATTGGATTCTCCCGAGCTTCACCTTGTCCGTCTCATTCTTGTAGTGTTGATGGCAGCGATACTTGAACTGTCGGAATCGACGAGCCATGATAGTATCCACCATATCTCTTACATGTGGTGCAGTGAATTCTACATCAAACTCACTCTACCATACAGACAACAAACGAAAAGGAAAAAGAATTAAACTCAAATGGAATCTAAACCAATATGTAATTTTCACTGCATATATATGGAAAATGGTTTGGGTAACGGTTACCTCCAGCTTGGCAAAGAGTGGCAGCTTATCTTCTTCAGTGAGATCCTTCCAGAAGAATTTTCCAATTGGAGCTAGCACACGGACGATAACACCTATCTCCATCTTCCACAGCTTATCGTTGGTACCCACAGGTGCTTTTGCTCCTTCTTCAATGATTATGCCGCCAATTTTGGTCCCCTCTTCTAAGCGTTTCTTCACCTCATATCCTTTGGTATTTCCGCGACTCTTCCTCTTGTCAGCACCTTCTACACATCATGCAACAACACTAGTTATTATGTATTACACAACTTTGTTGGTAACTATGAATGATCAAATTAGAGAAAAAACCACAACCTGTAGCATTGGAAGCAGCTTCATCTTCTGTTGAATGGTTTTCTTCTGCTCGTGTCTCTTGCAGATCTGGAATGTTACTTCCAGAAGTCCTGTCTTGAACAGTGGCCTCGGATACAGCAGCCCTGGATCTTGTCAGTCGAGGTGGAGCATTATTCACAGCTCTTGCTTTGGTATTCTTGGTTTTTTTACCAGGAGCCATTTCTGCAATCTACAAACATGGTTAAGAGCAATAAAACAATATCTACCTCAAACACATAAAAAGAAACCACATATATTCTTATATATATATATATATATGCACATTTACAATGTAGATGTGCCAAGAATCCTTTTTTACATAAGACAGAAATAAAAAAGTCTATTGCAGTACGTATATGAAACACCAAACTACCAATCAGTAAAAGTAAACTACACACCAAATTCCTTTACTAACTATCTCAAATTATGTCATCATCGTTGCTGTTACCACCATTACTATCAGATGTGTGCTCTGATTCACTGGAATCATTACTAAAAACTGCCATTGTATCATCCTCCTCCTCCTCACTAGTGTCTTCATCATTAGTAGAATCATCCGAGTCCATTGTAGGTGGGACATCATCCCCAGAGTCACTGCTGCTCAGTTCATGCACCAAAACCTCAGTATGCTGGACATCCTCATTCTCTTGAAAGGGTTCAGTTTCATACATAGGATCTATACCCTCTAACTTTTCTGGAACATCATATACTTGTCTCGGACTAACTTTGTGGACAACATGCCAATTCCCACCATTCTTTAAATCAGAAACGCAAAATATTTGGTTTGCTTGACTGGCTAAAATGTACGGATCATCAGCATACCATTTCTTGGTCATATTGACACTTATTAGATGGTTGTCTGACCTGATTCCGTTTCTTTTATCCCCTACATCCCACCACTCACATTTAAACACAAACACTTGACACCCATAGTTATACTGAACCCGAATGATATCGACTATAATTCCATAAAAATCAATTGTTTCTGCATTGTGCTCCCCTTCAACCACAATAGCACTATTCTGGGTACGATGGCCCTTTTCACGCTGAACAGTATGGTATCTTACCCCATTCATAATGATACCAGTATACCTAGTTACTATCTCATCAGCCCCTAACCCCAAAATATATAAGTGGTCCTCTTTCCCAACTGACCCATTGAGGTATAGTTTGCAAACCTATAAAGGTAAGGAAAAAATAAAGAGTCAAAATGTCAAAATGAAAAATGCAAAGAAAGAAAATGACAGGTCAACTCAGTAAGGACAAAGTTGATTCTTACATGTTTTTTAAACCAAGAAGGGAAATTCTCTTGTATTTCTGCTTCTGTTCTATTAGGATTTGATTGCAAATACTCTTGTTTATGCATTCTGTAAAATAGTGATAATCCTATGAGTTGGAAAATTAACTATTAACTTGGTCTAATCATATTGAACTGTTACCTATAGCACAAGAAACTTACTCAAAAAAAGGTGTTATCTCCTCACAGTTATTCAAGATGTACCATTGAATCTTACTCAATTCTGTTGGGGAAAGTTTCTGACGAGAAGCACCTCCAATTGGTCTAGCTTTTTGGCTGAAGACTTCAAAGCCATTAAGTTCTAAATCCATACCATCATCATTCCTATCTAAACGATTATATAGCTCTAGTCTCCACCCCTTGCAAATACCTAGTACAAAAATCCAAGCAGTCCTTTGCTATGCATGCCTCAGCAATGCATCCTTCAGGACATGCTTTGTTACGGACAAAATCTTTCAAAGTTCCTAGGTACCTATGCACATTTACAAACAACGAAAGAGAAGAAGTTGATTAACAATATTTATAAAAAGTATTCAATTCTGAAATGTAAAACCAGATCTAGGATTACCTTTCCATTGGGTACATCCATCTATATTGCACTGGACCACCGAGTTCTATTTCACGTGGTAGGTGAATTGCTAGATGTATCATGACAACGAAGAAGCTTGGTGGGTAAACCATTTCCAGTTTGCAAAGGATTAAAATAATGTCCTTCCCTAACTTGTTCACACTAGACTTTTTAATTGTCTTTGAACAAAGTTCCCTGAAAAATCCGCTTAGTTCTGCTAGTACAGTGTATACATTTTGTTGCAGAAAACCATTAGCCACGACAGGCAGAAGACGTTGTAAGAATATATGATGATCATGACTTTTCATACCCGAGACTTTAGAATCATCAGCAACAACACATCTAGAAATGTTTGAAGCATAAGAGTCAGGGAATTTAATTGATTTAAGCCATCCACACACTTTCTTCCTATCTGCCAGATTTAATGTGTATGCAGCAGGTGGCATCACATCTTTATTACCATCTGAAATTATGTGCAACTCCTTTCTAATGCCCATAAGCTTCAAATCCTTACGAGCATTAGCATTATCTTTAGTTTTTCCATCCATATCTAGTAGTGTTCCCAACACATTTTCACTAATATTCTTCTCTATATGCATAACATCTAAGTTATGACGCAGTTCAATAGTTTTCCAGTAAGGTAAAGACCAAAAGGAAGCTCGAACCCTCCAATTAAACTTGTTATTTAACCTCCTCTTCTTACTTGCAGGACTCAGATTCAACTCTGAAGAATTAGGAAGGGCGTCATCTAGTTGGTTCAAAACATTTTCAGGAGACAGAGTGGCAGGGGGGTCTCTAATTTCTTTCTTACCATTAAACTTCCTACTTCTCCTCCACGGATGTTCTTTTCCCAACCACCTACGATGACCCATATAACATTCCTTCTTCCCATGAGTTAGACGTAACGAACAAGTCTCACTACCATAGACTGGACAAGCCATTTTACCCTTGGTACACCATCCAGACAACATTCCATACGCTGGGAAATCATTGATTGTCCAAAGCAGTGCAGCATGCAATTGAAAATATTGGCCAGAGTATGCATCAAAAGTTTTAACCCCCACATTTCACAATTCATTTAGTTCTTCTATTACTGGTTCAATATAGACATGTATCTTATTACCTGGAGAGGATTTACCAGGTATAAGAACAGTCAAGAACATAAAGGACTCTTTCATACAACTCCAAGGAGGTAAGTTATATGGAGTTAGAACCACTGGCCACATGCTGTAATTCGGACTCATGTTTCCAAAGGGATTAAAACCATCACTTAAGAGAGCTAGGCGAACATTTCTAGGGTCAGCAGCAAACCAAGCATAGTCACTGTCGAATTTTTTCCATGTTTCTACATCAGCCGGGTGTCTAAGCACCTCATCGTCAACACGCTTCTCCTTGTGCCACCTCATATCCTTAGCAATTTCCTTATTTGTAAATAACCTCTGAAGCCTATCCTTCAAAGGGAAGTACCTAACCTTATGTATGGCCACCCTCTTCTCTTTCCCTTTGCTACTCTTATACCTAGGCTCTCGACACTTTGGACACGTCTCTGCATCCTTATAACTCCCTCTATATAGGACACAGTGGTTAGGGCAGGCTTCTATAATGTTATAACCAAACCCTAGATCTTTCATATACTTCTTAACATCATAATAGGAATACGGAAGAGTCTCACCAACTGGCAAAGCATCCTTGAACAATTCCAAGTTTAGGTTAAAAAGTTTGTTGGTAGAATTTGTGAGTACTTTATTGTTAAGCATTTTGACTAGAAAAGATAGTTTAGAATACTTAGAGCACCCAGGAAATAAAGGCTCTCGAGCATCACTAAGTAATCTACCTAATCTGTCCACTTTGTCCCCCCTGTCCATGCCTTCATCACAAACAGTGTCAGTCCCCTCAAAACCACACTCCATATCCCCTCCAGCTCTATGGATATCATCTAACATTTCATGCAACCCAGGTTCAATATCATTAGCAGAATTGTCGACATAAGAATCCCGATTAATGCCAACATTACTACTCTGCCCAACTTCAAAATTCTCACCATGATGTAGCCAAACTGTATAATCAGGAAGGAATCCATACAAGAAGATATCATTTTTCACAGCTTGGATCTTTTTGAAGCAAGTATTATTGCACTTTTTGCAAGGGCATCTAATTCTACCAAGTGCATCAGCAGAATTAGTGGCCAATTGCAAAAAGTTTCTAACCCCATTAACATATTCTGAAGAAAATTTGTCTTTCAATTTCATCCATTGTTTGTCCATGGTGACTGCATAAAATTAAACTAACCTTGACTTGTAGCCTTTTCGACCAACAGCCAAGATTAGTCCAGCTCCAAAAGACACGTCTCTGCAAAAAGTATTAACACCATATGGTCAATTGAAAGCAATCAATATGAAACCTAGACTTCGGTTAAAACAAAGGATGAACTGTAAATGTTAAACACTTAATAAGAACAAATTATCAGAATCGAGCTAAGCAAACAGGGGTCCAAATTTAACAGAAACTAACATAATCTTCATCACGGAACCAACTGATGAAATTCAAGGCCATTCATCTAAAACCTATTTCGGTTGAAACGAAGGATGAACTCAGATCCATGAGCCTCTTACTAGACATCAAAGTAATGAAAGAGAATTCAGGAATATAGAAATCAAACAGACTCAAGTAATGACTGAGACTCCAGAAATCAAAGGTTTTCGCACTTGAACATCACAGCATTGACATGGAACAAAAAACTCCAAAAACGGCGATAAACAGTCATAATCGGCAGAGGAGACTGAGTACAACAATACATAATTGATCATAAGGTAGAGGATGATATTCTTCGACAGCAATCAGAAAGGATTTACCAAGCGAGAGCATCTTCGACCCGAGAATTCAAAATAAAAGAAGGCGACATGCAAGATCGAAAATCAAAGTCGTACCTCGATGGAGTGTTCTTCTGGTCGTCGGATTCGACCACGAGAATGGCAGATAAAGGGATTGGAGGAATCGTCCTGGGAATGGCGGTGTATATTAGGGTTTTTTTGGGTGAATGGCAGAGAAAGGGAACGGATCGAGGTCTGGGGGAGAGTAGGAGTCGTGAAAGGGGATTGGGTTTTTTTGATGTGGAAATAGGAAAAGGAAATAATTTCCTTTGAGTTATGAAAACATATCGCGGGAATTTTTCCCTCCATCGAAATAATTAGCATATTTTATAGTTCATGTGACAAACTTATTTGTCGTAACATTTAAAAGTACTAATGTTGTGACAACCTAAGTTGTGATAATTAATATTGCGTCATATTAGCTCCTTTTCATTCGTACCGAAACCTATTATGACAAAACCATTTGTCATATTAAACTTTGACTCAACTTTATATGACGATCGTTTTTCTGACAAACACTTTCGTCACAATTTTTAATGTAAGCTAACGCTTTACCACGAAATGATATGACAAAATAATTGTGACAACATAAATTTTGTCATAATATGAATCTAATGTGATATATTTATTGTGACAACATAAGCTTTGTCATAATATGAGGCTAATGTGACAAAATATTGCGACGATAAACCTTTTTGTCACATTAAACATGGCAGTTATGACATATACTGACTTTTGTCACATTATAGTATATATTGTGACGAAAATAGCAATGAAAAATATTTATTTTGTCATATCAGACATATTTTGTTGTAGTGTACGTGGTTCACTAACACGATGTGTGTTAGCTACGTCCACGGGCGAGAGAGAGCCAATTTCACTATATCGAGGAGATTACATATTACAGAGGAGTATGAGAAGTATTTATAGTAATTCTCCATGTGGGTCTAAACCTAATCCAATCTGGCAAAGGAAACGGTTACAGACCAGGCCCAAAACCCGAACCCAAATAACATTGAGCCCACTCGTAGCGGGTGATAGTCCGATTCAAGTCATATCAACAAATCTCCACCTTGACTTGAATCCTCTTCCTCTGAAATCTCTGATGTACTCTGCTCCTTCTCTCTCTCCCGCCATCAATGCTCCGTAGGGCGGAGTCACCCACTCAAGACATTCAGCAAGTCCAAGCAGTGTTGGAACTTGCCATGTGGAACCGGCTTCGTGAACATATCAGCAGGATTATCCGCGGTGCCAACCTTCTTCACCTTAATCCTCTTCTCTGTCCTCAAGAAATGATACCTCACATCGATGTCCTTAGTCCTCTCATGGTGAACTTGATCCTTGGCCAAGCATATTGCACTCAAACTGTCGCAATACACCACTGCCTGATCATGATGTAGACCCAGATCACCAACCAGTCCCTTCAACCATATTCCCTCCTTAGCAGCTTCTCTCAACGCCATATACTCTGCCTCAGTAGTAGACAATGTCACCGCCGACTGCAGAGTTGCCTTCTAGCTCACTACAGAACTCCAAGAGTGAATACATAACCGGTCATCGATCTCCTCGTGTCAACATCTCGAGCATAGTCCGAGTCAGAATACCCAGACACCAAGCACTCTGCATCACTTCCGAAGCTAATCCCCACATCAGGTGTAATCTTAAGGTACCGAAAGATCCTCTTCACAGCATGCCAATGCTCCTTTCCAGGTTGTATCAGAAACCTGCTGACAACACTAACAGCATGTGCAAGATCAGGTCTAGTGCATACCATAGCGTACATCAAGCTACCTACTGCACTAGCATATGAGACTCTCGACATGTACTCCTTCTCAGCCTCTGACTGCGGTGCATAAGCTGAGGATAGATGAACATTTGAAGCACTAGGAGTATTTAAGGGCTTTGCTGAAGACATGCCAAACCTCGACAGTATCTTCTGGATGTAGCTCTTCTGTGACAAGAAAAGCTTCTTCTTCGACATGTCCCTATAAATCTCCATACCCAAGATCTTCTGAGCAGCTCCCAGATCCTTCATCTCAAACTCAGCACTGAGAAGCCCCTTTAACTTCTGAATATCAGACTTTGACCTCGCAGCTATGAGCATATCATCCACATACAGAACTAGATATATCATCGAACCATCCTCTGCCTTGCTGTGATATACACAACAATCATATGGACTTCTGTTGTAGCCCAACTCAAGCATGTAACTGTCAAATCTCTTGTACCACTGCCTCGGAGATTGCTTAAGTCCATACAAGGACTTCTTCAGCTTACAAACATAGTCTTCTTTTCCCGGAACCTCGAATCCTTCTGGCTGAGTCATGTAAATTTCTTCCTCCAACTCTCCATGTAGGAAAGTTGTCTTCACGTCTAGCTGCTCGAGCTCCAAGTCATAATGTGCCACTATTGCTAGTAGCACTCTGATCGAAGTATGTCTGACCACTGGTGAGAAAATCTCATTGTAGTCAACTCCTTCCCTCTACGAGAAGCCTCGTGCAACCACCCAAGCTTTAAATTTCATGCCCTCTTTAGAAGTTATTCCTTCCTTCTTCTTGTAGATCCACTTGTTTGTAACAATCTTCCTTCCCTGTGGTCGTTTGACTAGCTCCCAAGTCTGATTCCTGTCATGGGATTCCATCTCATCTCCCATTGCGGCAAGCCACTGATCAGCTTCACCAACCAAAACTGCTTCTCTATAGGACTGTGGCTCTCCTGCATCCACTTCCTCAGAAACCTGAAATGAATACGCCACCATGTCCTCGAAGCCATACCTCTGTGGAGGTACTCCTGCAGTCGCTCTCTTCGGTCTACCGGAAGCAATAGATTGTTTAGCTCGTGCACTGGACTCTGAAGTTTCTGGCTTTGCAGAGACATCCTCATCATGTTGATCTTCTCCACCTTGGTGCTCAAACTCACTCTCATTGAGAGTTTGCAGCTCCACCTGCTTATCAACATTCCTGCTACCTTTAGCAACAGTAACCTTCAACATGGGGTTAAACATAGACTTCTCATCAAATATCACATTTCTACTAAGTATAACTCGATGCTCAGAAGGTGACCAGACTCAAAATCCCTTAAATCCATCTCCGTAACCCACAAATACACCCTTCTTTGCCCTTGGGTTCAGTTTACCCTCATCCACGTGATAATAAACAGGACACCCAAAAACTTTCAGTGAAGAGTAATCAGCAGGCTTACCATACCACACTTCATAAGGAGTCTTACACTCGATACCTGTGTGTCCACGGTTGATCAGGAAGCACGCCATGTTTACTGCTTCTACCCAGAATCTTCTCTCTAGTCCAGCATTAGAGAGCATGCACCGTGCTCTCTCCAACAATGTCTGGTTCATCCTTTCTGCAACGCCATTCTGCTGGGGTGTATCTCTAACAGTCCGATGACGGGCAATCCCTTCATCCTTGCAGAATTAGTTGAACTCAGAATTACAGAACTCCAGACCATTGTCCGTTCACAGCTTCTTGATCTTCTTTCCGGTCTAATTCTCCACCAATGTCTTCCACTGCTTGAACTTCGTGAAAGCCTAACTTTTCTGCTTCATCATGAAAATCCAAGTAAATCTTGAATAATCATCAATAATAGACAGAAAATACCTGCTGCCTCTGATGGATTCAACTCGTGAAGGACCCCAACAGTCGGAGTAGAGGTAATCCAGTATCCCCTTCGTCCGGTGGATACCTTTCTTGGGAAACTTGCTGCGATGTAGCTTCCCAAACACACAATGCTCGCAGAATTCCAAATTCTGCACCTTGTGCCTGCAAAGAAGATCCCTCTTCGATAGAACTTGCATCCCCCGTTCACTCATATGCCCCAGTCTCATGTGCCAGAGAGTGGTCATATCTTCCTGATGAACCTGAGACGATGCAACTGCAGCAGAACCAGACAACACAGACCCTTGTAATGCATACAAGGTCCCACGCTTCACGCCCTTCGACACCTTCTTTGAACCTTTGCAGACATACACAACTCCACCTTTTCCTTTGAAGCTGAAGCCCTTGCTGTCGAGTAGACTCAAGGAGATCAGGTTCTTTGTCATTCGTGGAACATGCCTGACATCATTCACGGTACAGAACGAACCATCATGTGTCCGAACCTTTATGGACCCGATTCCAACAACCTTGCAGACAGCTCCATTTGCCATGACCACGTTACCACCATCTATCTGCTCGTAGGTTGTGAAGCAATCCATGTTCGGAGACATATGGTATGAGGCTGCAGTATCCAGAAACCACACATCCCCACGATGTGCCTTCTCATCTACAACCAATGCGAGATCGTCTTCAGAACTGTTGTCCACTTCTGCCACGGCAACTGAACCTTGTTTCTTCTGTTGCCCTCTTCTCTTGGGACAGTTTTACTTCCAATGCCCCACTTCCTTATAGTTGTGACAAGCATCACCTGGCTGTGGACCGGGACCCTTGGAATTCTTGCTCGAATTCCCTTTTCCAGATTTCTTCTTTCCCTTTCCACCTGTAACAGCCAAACCCGATGCCTCACCACCTGTACCAGATCCGGACGCCTTATGTCTGATCTCTCTCATATGAAGAGCAGACCTGACATCCTCCAACGACACGCTTTCTTTACCAGCAATAAAAGAATCAACAAAATTCTCATATGAACTCGGCAAAGAAACCAGTAGGATTAGGGCAGCATCCTCGTCATCAACTTGAACATCTATATTATGCAGATCCAGCAAAATAGAGTTAAGATGTTCGCGATGTTCCCTCAAAGGCGTACCTTCTTGCATCCTCAAGCTGAACAACCGTTGCTTGAGATGCAGCTTGTTGGTTAAGGACTTCTTCATATACAGACTCTCCAACTTTAACCACAAGCCCGCGATAGTCTTCTCAGCAGCGACTTCAATGATGACGTCATCAGACAGCGATAGCATGATGGTAGAGTGGGCCTTCTCCTCCAGGGTATTCCACTCATCGTCATCGACCGCTGCCTTCTTCTGTTTCGCACACAACGGCCCCCACAGCCCTTGCTGTTTTAATAAAGCCTGCATCTTGATCTGCCATATAGCGAAGCTGTTCTTCACCGTGAACTTTTCGATCTTCATGTTCACCGACGTCATTCTTCTGAATCGAAAACCCTAGCCGGATTTCCAGCCTCGGCTCTGATACCACTTGTTATAAACGCACTGCTACGAATCGGG